ACATACTCAACCATAAATATAAGATTAAGCTTAACATATAGAATCCACAACGGTGCGATTAAGCTCTGATTCATCCATAGATGATGTTGCTGCAGTGCATGATGGTCCAATCGGCTCAGTAGCTATAATTACTCGTTAGTGACCCTTCTGTGCCTCTTGTAAGTGGCGCTTGTCAAAAAGGCGTTTGGCGAGCAATCCCAAAGTTTTCCTTCCATCACTCCAGACGTGTTGTTTCAGAAAACCGCAGTGGTAAATTACTCTGATTACCAGATGCTGATGAACCACTTTCCCGTTTCATGGCCTCACGTCCCACGGAACCAAGGCCTGCATCCGCATTGAGATGAGCGGCTCGCGTACATTCTCACCACAGTCAAATAAGAGAAGATTTCACAATGTATGACTGACTGAGAGTGTCTACAGAAATCCTGTAAGAGCAGCTTTCTGTGTTCCAGTAAGATCTATTTTAGAACAATACACAACAGGACATGACACATCTCGCTGCTGCATGCACGGAGGATGTAAACAGGTGGTGAATTAGCAGTTGTTTCAGAGACGGCATTGTGGCACAAACATGTCGGGAAGAACAATCTCAGATATTTTCAGCCCCCGGGAGCTCAGTTGTGAACTCAGTGTGAAATACGTAATCGCAGTGTTGTTTTTTTCCAGTCGTCCGTCTGAGTGTGAGAACAGCGAGGGATCAAGTTCTGAGAAAATGGATGAATCAATCAGGGATTTTCCTTCCTCATCTTTTCCCTCCCAGCTTCCTGAAATAACAAGGAATCGTCCTCACTGTCAAACATGAACCGTCAAACCAGATCGGACCAGAAACAGCCAGTGATTAACTGCAGTGTTTAGATTCAGCCTTTTAGGTACTTTCCTTCACAACATGTGATCTTTAAGAAAATTCGAAGGAAGCTAACGGCCAAATGAATTTACATAAAAGTGACATTTTTGTGTATGTTCCCTCAGTTGCCCTCTGTCTCTCTCTCTCTCTCTCTCCAGGTGATTATGCAAGATACAACTTGTGACTGCAAAATGTGAAGGCAAGAATTGACAGAAAGCTTCTGTTTCACAACTTGCTTTGACTTTGTTTTCACGTCAGTTGAAAACTTCAAAGACCCAAAATGTCATTATTCATTTGACCCTTAAATGCCAAATACAAAAAGTAAAACCCTTTGTGCTCATTGTTAAGAGTTTAATGTGTGTTATTAGACAGATGTGTCAGTATGTCACCAAGATGTGTGTTTGTGTTCTTGTAGTTGTTACTAAATTAGGTAAGAAGCATTGCAACACAACAGGGCTTTTTAAAGGCCCTGTCATGTGACTGTGTGTTGTAAAATACTGTTTACATTATTTATCATGCAATGGTATTATTAGTAAGTATTCACTTACTGTGTTGTTGCTTTATACTTAACGTATCAGAGATTAATTAATAAAAATGTATTTATCTCAAAACATTTATTAAATTGATGCAATAAATCTTAATCATGTTTTTTTTTTAAACTTATTTCATGTTTTTATAATAATGATACAACTTTTCTGTAATCACAGTAACTATGGACATTGAAACACGAAGAGCCTGCATCCTTTTATTCTGTATTGAATATTTCCAGAAATCCTACGTCAACTGTGAGTGTAACTAACGGAAACCAATTCTGGGACTTCGGCGGCAAATACTGACGATTGAGTTTTGATGATCAGATCAATAATAAATAACTGCCAGATTCTTTGTCAGTAAATTAAACTACTCAACCGATTTCCATGAAATTGTGTTGAGTGCATTTGCAAAATGCAGAAAAGACCACATTCAATTATTTTTTCATTTCCAGGTGCAGGGAGAAAATCCAGGAATTGTTTTTTTGCACTGTTTCTCCATTAGTTAGCAGGATTATGCATCATGGATATAAATCATTCAGCATGTCTAGGGGGCTGATATTTTATATTTATGTGCAATTCGGTGCAGATCTGAAGAAAAAACTAAATTAAAATCTATAATAAGTGAATTTAAATGTGGGTTCATGAGGGGAGTGTTGGTGAGGGGAGTTCTGGTGACTTCCACCAAGGAGGTCATGTTTTCCTCCCCATGTTTTCGATTATGCAAAAAAAATGACAGGACAGATTACCATGAGACTTGTTGGGAGGATGTGGTACGGGAAAGGGAGGATCCCACAGTGTTTTTCAACAATTTTTCTGGACTTCTCAGAGAATAACACATGGATCTGGACGATAAATAACAAGTGAGCCTGTGTAATTTGGTGAAAACACACATAAAAAATTGTGCATGTAGTGAATTAAAATGTGATTTCATGAGGGGACCATCGGGGCATGAGCTCTACCCATGTATTCCATGCTTTAATTAATTAATCCTCTTATTCATCTGAGTCTTTTTGCCTGCTTGGAACAACCCCCCCTCTGATTCAAAGCTCTGTGGTCAAGCGTCGCTGCTTTTGAAATGTGCCCCATGAATAAACTGACTGGACTTCACACTACAAATTACTGGTTGGAGTAACTGCATTACTTTCCACCACCTGACAGTGGGATCAGTTTGTTGTGTAATCCAATAAGCTCCAGTCCGTATTTCCCCTGAAGCCCATCTGGCTCACTGGCAGGGTTTGTTTACTGGCTGGGGAAGAAGAAGTGGATCCTAACAGGAGCTGGGAGACTGTACAATCTACCTCAGTCTGTCTGTGGAAGAAGAAAAAGGGAAGAAATAAGCAGAAAACTTTATCGCTCCACTTTCCTCTCGCTCCGCTGCAGCGCTTTAGTGCCAGGCAGCAGTTTGGAGCGTGGACGCAACTTGGATCGCATGTGCATGTTTTTTTTTTTAGTTTTTTTAAACTCCTGCATTGAAACAGTAAAGAAACTAAATAGTTTTTTTGTGTGGAGAGGAGACCACCGGAGTGCTGCTGAGCCACGACCACGTCTGTCAGCGTTCCAGAGTCTCACTGAAATCTCTGCACAGACTCGGGGAGTTTGACGCGTCGGAGCCGCTCGACGGATAAAAACCAAAACCAGCAGATTTCACAAGCGAACAGAAAACAGGAGATGTTTGCAGCTCGCTGGAAAACTTGAGAGGATCTTTTTCTTTTTTTTAACCAAACATACGCTAACGCCACGCACGCTTCAACCCACAGCGGCTCCTCCAACCCCCCAGAATTAAGTTAGCGCTCGGCTTTAACATTCATTTCCCCACGGATGCAGCCTTTTCAAGATTTTTAACGAACGTGCATTGTACTTGAGTGGGTTTGCGTGGTATTTCCCCGAGGTAGAAATTAAATTTAACACGGCGCAAACTTCTCTCTCGTGGCCTGGACGGGAGTGGTTGAGCCAGGCTAGGCGGCTAACAGCAGCAGCAGCAGCTTGCTAGCTCCGCGGCTAGCACTGACGTTAGCCTCCGCTCGGCTTTGTTTATTTGTCGCTCTTCTTGTCCCCCACACACGGACACACACAACCGGGACAACCTGACATCGAAATACACAAACACAGAAGGAGTGTGTGTTTGTGTGTGTGTGTGCTGCGTGTCCACGGTGCCCTCCCCCTCCCTCCCATGAGGTGGCTAGCTTTAGCAGCGGTGACCGGGGCGCTAGCTTGGGTCTGACCCGAACACGTTGGACTCGATCCTCCGCCCATCTTCCGGGATGTCTTTTATTTATTTTTGTTTACCTGTTGGCCCACGCCACCAAACAAAACCAGTCTCCTGAAGGTGTTTCTCCTCCATTTTGAACTGTCCTCCTCGCTAAAGGGCCACCGGGCGTGTTGACCCGGGACAGGAGCTGAATGGTGTCTCGTACCGAGCCAGTGATGTGTCCCCGGACTTTGTGTTTTGTTTTGACCGCTGTCTGCTTCATGGTGAGCTGTCACCGAGCGACTGGAGAGAGTAAGTAACACTAATGATCCCGCTTCTCTGCCAACACGGAGCATTTCAACTGCGCCGATCAAAAGAAATGAGGCAGTTCACAAAACTACAGACACATTGGATTTAAAATAAAAACATGATCTCTGTCCGGTAGTATTTCTGTGTATCACAGGAGAGATGATCGACACTGACATCTACAATTATTCACACATTTCCCTGAGATGATGCTGGGGTTGATCCAATGTTTTGATTTTTAATTGTTATATTTTGATAGAGACACATAGACACGTATGACTTGTGATTATAACTACACACTACATTTTTTTTTTTTTTTTAAATAGATCAATAAATTCAATATGCTGAGAAATGCTATAAAATGTTTGAGCAGTGCAAACACTAAGTGCTGCCATGGTGTCATACAGATTGTCCTTCTTGTTTTGTTGCTGATGGTAAATTGAGGCACGTAGGCAGCAAGTTGTAGACAGTCATTGCATTGGAGGGACAAAGGTTAACACTTATCTGGCTTTTTGAGTCTGCAGCAACTGTAAACAAAATGTTTTGTCCCACATTAGTAAGCAGTCTTAGGATTTAGAATAATAATAACACATTAATTGGACCGTGCTGTAGATTGTAGATTTTTGAAAGCCTCGACTTGTAGCTGTGGTCTGTGCAGGAATGGAACAATAAGCCGCCTTTAAAGCTCCTGACAATCCCCTTTATATTCACCAGCCAACAGACCCGGGTGATAACAATGAATGAACACATTTGCAGTCAGCCGGAGACATTTTCACGTTTCTCAAACACTCACAGTGACTGCACGCACTCACAGCTTCACACCACAGGAATCTTTTAGTTTTGAGCAAATATTGGTTGTAGTCGCGAGGAAATGTAAAGCAAACCTGTGGGACCACTTGCATATCTGAACTGTTGTACAGTAAGTGTAGGCGTTTTTCAGGATGACAGTAAATGGGGCCTTGCTGGTAAACAAGATTCCTTTAATTTCTCTTTTATCAGGAAAGTCCAACTGTGATGTAGAAGTGTTACGTGTCTCGAAACTGGTCTTTACAAACAAACCTTTCGTTACAGAGTTTACAGCATTCTACATCCAAATGTTGATTAAATTAGATTTAAAGAAGTTAAAAAAAAATCAGATTCAAGACCATAATAATGCTCTAAATTAGGGCTTTTACTTAGCAATATTTATTTTATTCAGTCTGTAAAAGTTTTCAGTTATAATAGAAAACTAAGACAGATCATCTTCTCTATATCCTGCAACACCATCCAAAACACAAAACCATGAGATTGATTTTGAATTAATATGCAGCTGATTGTCACATTTTAAAAAGTGGAACTATGTCATTTGGGGCATTTTGGTTAAAGAAATGACATATAATGTATTACCAAAATAGTTGGTGGTTCATTTTCTTAATGTTTATTGCAGCACTACCCTTTTATTGCCATTTTAAGAGTAAGTTTGTTGTTTCTTAAAATAATCTTGACATGAGCCCATATACACAACAAACAGTGTGTTACTTATTTCAGAGATGGATTGACAGGAGCTCCTCCTCCTATATGTTCAGTACAAGCAGTTTGTATTTAGTGTTTGTATCCACCACATTTACGCACAGTGCGTTGCCCCAGGTACCTTTAAACGTCACACTTGGTTTTTAAGAGGTGCTCTGAAGGAAAAAGAAAAGCACAGGCTCTCTCACCTCTTATCAGATTTTAGTGAGAGTTGAAGGGAGCGATGTCATTAAACCAGTCAGAACGAGAACTTTTAAGACATAAATCAAAAGCAAGTTGAGCAATTGCGCTGCGGCAGCCCCCACCCCCTCACTCCTCTCAGACGTGAGTTTGAACCACAGAAGGGACGAGTGGAACCTGGGCCTCACACTGGCTGATTTCATAAGCTCGACTGACCAGTGTCGAAGTCAGGAAATCTCCTGTGCTACTCGTTGGTCGCTGTCCAGCTCAGCTCAGTGGAAAAATATTCTCTTAATATTAGAGGGCTTCTGTTTAGTGGCTGTGTTAATTACTATGTTAATTTATGCACTGTTGAGTGGCGGTTGTGTTAGAGCTAAAATTTTCCAAGTAACAACATGCTGTTCCTGTCTTTTTTTGTTTTTTTGTTTTTTTACATCTAGTGTATTAAGACCCAGGTTGCACCTCATGTTTTGATTAAGTAACATTACACACATCTGTTTTTCACGACTTGTGGTTGTTGAACACTACTTACTGCTGTCGTGAAGGAATCTCAGAAATCCAAACTATTTCAGGACTCCTTTAACCATCGAGCTAAAAAAATATTTAGTCGTCTTAGAAGGAAAAAGGGCACTAACTCATCGATTGCACGTCATGAGCTGTAGCCTATCGACGTCATGTGACTGTTGTTTCATATTATTCATTACTGTTTATCTCGTTGAGCAGCAAATCCATTTTAATGTCAATGTTTTTGTCATTTGGATACTTTGGTACTTTGCGTTCTTCCTCTTGGCACCAATTCTGGCAGGAAATTTGCATGAAGGTAACACAAACAAACACGGAGGACAGTGAAACAGAATAAGTTAATTCTGGCAGCAGGTAGGACTCAGGCCAGCCAAAGACAAATCAATGAGCTTGTACCTTAAAGAGGAGCTTCTTGTCTCACATGGATGTGGTTTGGGTGTGAAAAGTATGAAATGGACCAGAAAACAGTTCTGTGCAAATTATGCCACAAACTGACTCAGACTAGGACACCACTGACCTCTTTCCACCTACACAAGGATGTCAAAGAGAGAGTTAATGGATGAGAGCTGCTAAAATATAGTGGAGTTCTGTAAACAATCCCCAAACTCATTATACATAACATGTGGCAAAAAATCTAAAAGATGAAAGGGGATAACTGCGTAACTCAAGCTTTATCTTCAAATGAATTCATCTGTAATGATGCCAGAATGTGTATGCCCGTTGCATTGTCGAAAAGGATTTTTATATTTTTCTTGTCTTGCACTATAGTGAGCAACAAAACATTGTAATATACAGGTACCAAGATAGAAATAAAATTGAACTGTCAAACTAGAATAGCACTCAGTAGAGCGTATACCTCCACCAGTGCCCAACAGTGCCCTTAAATTCAAGCCCTCATAGATGTCAGTTTCCTCCATGTGCCTGATCTTTTTCCATCAAGATCCATTTTTAATCCCTGGGGGAAAAAAAGGTGAAAATGTTGAAAAACTGCAATGCTAAATAAGTAGAAACACAAATATCCTGGATCTGCACCATAAGTTAATGGGTTCTTTCCAGACCCATTCTGTATCCTTCCAACAAATTTCATGGAAATCCATTTAGACGGGTGTAAACATAACCACCACGGCAGATTATTTATTATTATTTCTTATCGTGTAACAGTCAGAATAATGTTTCAGATGGATAAAAAAAAGTCTTCACTAATTCTAGAAATAACTTCAAACCAGAAGAAAAGTTTTTTAACCACCCTTTTCTGGTTTTTCAAACTTCACCAGTATTAATTTGTTTACACAAAAGCTAAGTTACCGACTTGAATGTATTGTTGATGCATCAGAAGCACAAACTGTGGTTAACGTCCAGCTTGGTTCACCTCAGGTTGTGAACCTCAGGTGGTTTGGTTGTGAGACTGTGGCGTATTGTTGTGCCATGATAATGCGTCACTTAATCAGCAGTGTCAAACAGCAGGAAGCCAGTGGCTGTCTGTTGTCGTGCAGCCCTACGGCCGGAGCAGGTCTTGTATGTGGGTAACGATTCAATCACCTGGCGCCCTTGGTTTACACCTCCTGATAAAAAGCCAACTGTAAGTTGATGAAACTGTCGCCTCTTAACCACCCTTCTAAAAACACCTCAGACAAAAACACTACACACACACTTCAGTGCTGTCTCAAGTACCAAAGTCATGAGTGGATCTGGCACGAACACAATAGAATGATTTTTGCACTTGTCACCCTCAACAATGACTGGACGATTACTAGACAATGACAAGAATCTAATCCTGGTCGACGGGTTCAGGTTTGAAAACAATATACAGCTTGAAAATGAAGCAATCAGGCACACCTGCACTCGTTCGCTCGGGTGTCGGACAAGGAAGCCTTGTTGTGTCAGATCTTTACCCTTGACACCGTGCTCCTGTTAACAGGAAATGTGCTTGTTATTGTGCACTCACATGTTAGAGGTAATGATTACCCCATTGTCAACGTTGTACTTAATGCCCACATGATCTTAAAGGTTTATAAAAGACCAGATATTTATTCTGATCCAGCCTGTGAGTTTTAAACACCACGTTAATGTCTCACGGGATTTACAAAGTAAATAATTAAATTTAAAAACAAACAAATAAAAAGAAACAATAGGCTTCAAAAAAAATTTTTTTTAATGCAATTGATTGTTTCGCTAACCAGCAGAACGGATAATTTGTAAGCACATGCAGCTGGTGGGCAACTGACTCACCAAATTATCTTTGGTTTAAAGCCATTATCAACAAGATAGCCATAACATAATCCCAAGAGGGAGCTTTGTGGTTTTTTAGGCTCCCTCTTTTACTCAATGCCACTCTATTTACAGGCTGGGCCCTGATTTACTTTGGTTTAACTTTATTATTCCCTGTTAGGCTTGCCGTGGCACCCGTACCAACCATCTTCATCTGATAAGCCACTGTACCCATGCCCCTGCTTGTCCTGCGCAGAGATGAGAAACATCTCAATTAACTTTTATTTACAGCCAAAAACCAAGTTGAACATAGCCTTGAGATAAAACAGTTTGTTTGACTATGGTGTGTCCTTATTCCTCCAGTTCAGAACAGAGCTTTATTAAAAGTTGCTTTCAGTGTTTGCAGTAAAGGGAAAGTTCACAGAAAAATGAAGATTCACTCATTAACCACTCACCACTATGCCGATGGAGGGTGTTTGAGTCCACAAAACACTTCTGGAGCAGAAAATGCCTCCATACTGTTCCTGTAGTGTCATCCAAGCCCTGATATTTCAAATTCAACTTTAAATGTTGTCATCAACACGGTTCTTTTAGCCTAAATGTCCGCTGTTATCCTCCTAGTTTGGAGTGTGCGAAGGTGAACGTGGCTCCGGGATTTGGCTGCAACGCTCTTTACCACTGAAACTCCAAAAGTCTTTTATGGACTCAAACACTTCACCCACCCCTCCATCGGCCTTGTGATGAGTAGAGTGAATTTTCATTTCTGGGTGAACTATCCCTTTAAAGCGGTGTCACGATCATGTTTTACAGTCCTTCTTTAAGTGGATGACATCATATGTTGTCAGTTTGGACACAGTGAATTTATCTCGGTGACCTCGGCATTTTGTGAATGTGTGGTTAGTTTTAGTCTTGGTTGGAAAACAGCGGAACTGCACAAACCTTGAAAAGGGAAGTGTTGCAATCACTGAGTGTGTGTGTGTGTGTGTGTGTGTTCCTGCGTGCTCATTGAGGCCTCAGTTCTCTGCGAGGCCCCGCTATAATATACACCATTAGTCTAACAACCTGTAGCCCCCTTCCCCCCCGACATTCACCTCCTTCACAAGATCAGAAGCGTCATTGCCTTTTGATGCTCGCAGCTGCAGTGAGAGCATAGTGAATTTGTACATTATACCCATGAGCACACAGTGGACAGATGGTGAAGCTTAGCGCGTCTCCAGCGGACTCCCTGTAGTATAGATATGCACAGTACTCAACACCTCGCGGTTACAGTTGAGTACATGTTGATTTAAATTTAGGACCATCATGTGACCCAGGCATGATTTTCATGAGCCATTCCCAACAGTAAACTTTAAACATAAGCTTTAAAATCTATTGACCTTAACCCATATTAATCTAGACTTGGCCAGTCAAAGCCAAAGAGCCAAAATTAGCTTTTAAATGTCACTCTAAAATATTTCTTTGTCTCATGCAAATCTCTTTCCACAAATCAACTTAACTCATCTTGTGAGTAGAATAGATTAAATGTTTGTTGTTGGATCAATTATCCATGAAAACAACACAAGACAGCAGCTCTAACCTTTACATTTTGATTAGAAGCTCCACCCTGTCTGCTCTTCTTCCATGTTATTATTATTAACAGGCTTTTCTTTGCTCACAGTGTTGTTGAAATGGGAAACCATTGCACTGCTCCGTTTTAATTAACCTTAAAAGTGAATCTGTCTCCGAGGTGCAGGCAGTGATGGAGATGGATAGAATCTAATGGCATCAGTCAATAGTGATCTGTCCCTCTAATGCCTCTAATTGACAATTCAGTGCACCATTGCGGTGTTTGGCTGTCTTGCTCGAAGTAGGTGATGTATTGAGAGCTGGAGCCAGCCTAGTTTCCGTAGTAACCTTTGTGATGTCTCCCAGTTTTTCCAACAATACAGGGAGCATTTAAATTCTGCGACGCACCTGGTTTGTTTTGCCTCAGTCGTGTAATGTCGTCATTGATTTAGTGCCCTACTCTGAAATAACCAAAAAACCGTGTGTCCATTTGTGCATGTGGCTTTTTTTTTTATTTATTTTTTTTTTTGTTCGACTTCAGCCAGAGTTTCGTTCCTAAACTAAGTATTCACACATGGTGAAGTCAGCCCGGCCAGTTCTTTCCCTGCTCTAAAATTCCTCACTTACACACCAGGGCTGCCATGTTCCAGTTTCCAATGTGAGCCACTATCGCCACGGCTGGAGTGTATTAGATTCTCTATTGGGAATGTGGTGCTAAAAATACTGGCCTGGCTGAAAGTGTACACTGATAGGAGCCTGGACTCACTGCCCTGTGATGATTCTCCTTCTCCACAGGGTCACCCAGTACTCTGCTAGTTGACTTTACTGCCAACACAAAATCACCATCACCTCGTATTTTTACACTGCCAGCAACTTTGTTCACGATATGGTTCTGTTTGTGTGTGACTCCGAGGCTCCTGTAAATGTGTTCCTTCATGGATCTAGACCTTGCTGCAGACTCCTCTGTCAGTTTGATAGGAAAAGTTTAATTTGGAGGTGGATGTGTTGAAAGAACAGATTTGTGATATTCATGCATACAACTCAGGAAAAGGAGCTGCTGATCCAAGCCAGGCTGCTTTTAATAGGCAGCAGTTTAAACCCGGGCTCATACATTTAGCTTGTTTCTTAACCAAGCCACAAAGTCGTTGGCCAAACTCTAGATAACTGCTGTAAATTGAGCTTCCTGGTTAAGGTCATGGAGTAAAAAGCTTGTTTTTGGACACCGTGTGTATGTGTGTGTGTGTGCGCCAGTTGTCTTGTACTGTTATGCAACAGAAAGTGTAAAATGAGCCGCTGCCATAAAGAGGTGCACGCCTAGCTGTTATACCTCTTCTCCACATGGCTGACCAGTTGGCCTGATGCGCCCGTCTCAACGGTGGGTCGCTCGGTAAACAAATACAGTCCTCTCACCAGGCAGCACACCTCCAGCTGCACCCATGACTTGTGCACTGTAAAGCTGTGGCTGGAACGTCCCACAATGCACCTGCAAAGGAAAACATCTTTATGACCATCATTATTGGTGTTATGTCACAAGCATATGCTCTAGAAGTTGGCTGATTTCCAGTGGAGAGAGCTGAGGAAATCCTCATTACTGTCGGTGTTGCATGTGCAGAACCCCCCCTGGGTGTGATAGGGTTTGATATATTTTACAGAAGGTTTTTATCTTCAGCTGCAGTTCTCTTGAAGTTCATCTAGAGTGGAAAAGATATGTTGATTGATACATTCGTAAAGCAAACTGCTTAATTATCTAATAACCATGAAAAGAAAATGCATTTTCTTGCTTCTCCAATAGGAATGCACAATAAAACAATATATCACCAAATTTCATGTATTGTGCAAGTAGAATGAGGAGGAATAACACATAATTAATCCACCTCAGATTTTGCTGTTAATCAAGTGTTTCTTATTTTCTGCCTGAGAAGAAGAGTTTCAAACCACAACCTTAACTCAGGAGCAGCAGTCTTTAAACTTAAAACAAATAACTTTATTTATTTATAATATTTATAATAATAATTATTATTTATATTGACTCATGAAAATTATATCTTATATCTTAATATAATTCATTGTAAACTGAATAAGGTTTGTGGAGTTAATTTAACTAAACAAGTAATTTGAACAAATCACCTGGGGCGCTGGCAACTAGTGTGAGGCTTTGTCACTACTATTTAATTTTCATTAGACTTAAAGATTAATTAAAAAACAATTGACAGGTAAATTATCTTAAGTTGCAACACTAACAATTATCTCTTACACTGTAATTGTGATACAGTATAATGTGAGGTGATTGACACAGTGAAAATGGGACCTGTCTGCACAGCAGCATAGTCAAGGAATTTCTCATCAAACCAGATCATGTGTCTGGGTGAGAACTGACGAAGCCCCAAACTTACTACTGGGGCAATAAACTCCCATTAGTGCTTGAATTCCCCTCACAGACAAATATTTTTAATGCATTAGCTAATGTTTTTTATGGTCTTGAGTTACAGAAGCAACTCCACAAATCAACCCAGCGTAACCAAGGATGAGCACAGCTCTGATGACAGCGCTCCATATTTGACAGTGGCTCGCTGCCAGATATGTGGTTGCTAAACAAAATGTCAGTGAAGATGGTCTGGTCTTCATCAAAGCCAGAGATATAACCACATACTTTAGTCAAATATTCCCTCTAATTACCAAAAGATATATTATTTCTAATCCTTTTGTCCGTCTTACTTCTTCAACCCTGTTTTTCCAATTTGCAGAGTCCACGTCTAGCCTAATGTATCTGCCATGTGCAGCAATCTTCTGTCAGTGACACCAGATAAATTGTCTTCAGGAATCTTCCTGTTCTTCACATCCAAGAGTCATAAAAATACCTATAATCATACAGTTTATTTACCCATAAGACATTACTGTAGATCTCAGTCGTTCCACATGTTATTGTTTGAGCCTTTGAGATCATTTTTGTGAATGATACATGAATGGGTCTAGTGTTTAAAGAACCTGTGTCTTCCTTTTTTGTCTTTTCAGTTTGTGTAAGCAAGGACATCCGCAACAATGTGACCAACATGCAGACGCTGGAGAACTGCACTGTGATCGAAGGCCACCTAAAGATCTTGCTCATGTTCAGGACCAAGCCAGAGGATTTCCACGGCCTCAGTTTTCCAAAGCTGAGAGTGGTCACAGACTATCTGTTGCTCTTCAGGGTTTACGGCCTGGAGAGTTTCAGAGATCTCTTCCCCAACCTGACAGTCATCAGAGGCAACAACTTATTCTTCAACTACGCCCTAGTGGTGTTCGAAATGCTTCAGCTGCGAGAGATTGGCCTCCATAGCTTGATGAACATCACCCGAGGAGCCGTGAGAATCGAGAAGAACCCAGACCTCTGCTACCTCTCCACTCTGGACTGGTCCAAGATCCTGGACTCCGTGGAGGACAACTACATCATAGCCAACAAGAACGACAGAGAGTGCGGAGACGTGTGCCCAGGGGCGGCCCTCGGGAAGACCACCTGCCAGACGACAACGATCAATGGACACTTCAGTGAACGCTGCTGGACGCAGAAACACTGTCAGAAAAGTAAGAAGACTTTTGTTTTTATTCTCTATCACCTGTGTGAAATATTTGGCCTTGGTTATTGTCGACGGTGGAACTGGTGTTCCTAGCTCATAGGACTATTGGCTTCCATCTGGTAAATCTATATTTTCAAGGATTTTGCTGCTGCATTTTATAGAATCGAGTGACTGAACTATTCCCTCTCACAGCCATCGTGTCTGAGCATCCTGGATCATTGCTAAAAACCACAGAGTGCTAAAACGATCAATTGCATTTGACTGCTGGGATCTGTCGCACACAGCTAATGCGGGAATTTCCAGCATTACTGTGAGCGTTGCCTGCCTGCTGAGAACAGTTACAACTTTATGGGTGTTTTTTCTTTTTGTCATGGTCCTGCGGCCCACCAATGTGGTGGAATTTCTCCCGTTGATGCCGATGGTCAGTGTGTCTATGACAGACAGGTCTGATGTTTTTGTTTGTGAGAGAGATAGAGAGAATTAATGAAGTATTTCACTACATCAGGACGAGGTAATTAATAGGAAACGCCGCAATTAACTGGCTTTTCTTAGACTTTCAACTGCAGCTTCTAGTCTTCAGCAGATGGGTTTTATTCAGTAATTCTCATGTTACTCATAGTTTAGTTTTTAATTATAATCAAGTTGAGTCTAAACAGATGCAAAAAAGTCAATAACATAATTCTACTATAATTTTTTTAATGAAAAACATTTAATATTCATAATGCTAATCCAAGCCCTGTTATTACATTATTGTCAAATGAATTCTTTGCTGGAGACTAGAAGCAGCTTCTTGTGCAGCTCTTTCCCAGCTGCTTTCCACCAACACGTCATTATTTCCATTCCCCTTACTTTTACTACACGTCTAACCAGTCTAACATTTACAGAATTCAACTTTCCATTTGGATCAAATAAAAGCTGATGGGGGTCAGTGTTTCAAACCAAAATAGTTCTTTGTTCGCAGCAGAGTGAAAGATGAATTTGCAGCTTTGAAGTTGTGTTGTAGTATTGAAATGTCACGGCTGTGTCATGTGTTCAGGTTTAGTTAAGTAGGCCAAGTTCTGTGTCAACGCAGCTTGAACTGTACTAATGTGACACAACACCTCACCAGTTAGTCTATGACTAATTACTCTCAATAGGCCGTACTGCTGTCATTGCTCCTCTTGTGTGCAAAAAATGGTGGACATCATGACACATTTCTAATTCTCTGCTCTAAGCAATAAACTCCAGTGACATGGGCTGTTCCCTATATGCTCTGGCTTTTACTTGAAAGCCACAAGCCCACCCATTTCACACTGCCAAAAAGGTTCAAGTTCGAGTGCTGAGAAGAATTTTGCGCATGGGTGATGTGTGAACACCTTGGCTCGCACCGTTACGCAACACTGCGGCACATTACTCTAACAGTTCCTTTGAAGCAGTTCCTCTGCACATGTCTGACTTTTCAAGCTCTCATTGCTGTTTGTTTGGTGTGGCGACTACATGCACTTTCTCCAGAGCTGAGCACGCCCCATTATTATGCTCTTCAGTCCTCTTGCCACTGAAGAGTGTTTTTATAGTTTTTCCACTAATGTCTGGGCTTGAGATGATTTCTCTTAGTCATCACAAATCCTTGAAGACATTTGCAGAATAGGCTCAGAAGACCTACTGTCAAATTGTGGCGATGTGGTGAATTTCAAGGCGGAAGTGTTATATAAAAAGTCTCACACCATATGATTTCCTAATTGTGTGCCATATTCTGTTGATGAATCAACACCAGATGCTGACTGGCGAGCACTGGTCTTCAGCCATGGGCCTGCATTCGGGACGGGCAGGGCTTGTGGTATTGTGGTCTGGGACCTGCGGTTTTTTGCCTACTTTCGCTGAAGCATGAAAAGACCCGTCAAGCCCCAGCTCGAACCACAGGACGGAGCGCAAGGCGTTCGGTGTCCCTTTCAGATGTTGGGATTTTTTACTTAGTTCTTATTATAGACCTACAGTAGCTCTTAAAGCAAGCTACTTGCAACTTTTTCTCTGTTAATCTGCTGCTCACTGTAATAATTTTCTTCACAGGGCTCCAGAGTAACTTTTTCCAGTAGTTACACATGTGCTCCCGACTGAAACTTATGAGCATCAGCACAAAAGTTTAGGCGTTAAATCAACATGCATCGCAAACACATTCATAACTTTTCCATCTGATTTATGCTTTGGTGATAGTTAGACAATTTACAGAATTAGCAAAAGACAAATAATGGATTTACAACAATAACATAAGAAATGTTGACAGTCCATTTCTGTCATTACAGTACAACAAAACAAGTAAACAAGGAAGTCCCTCTTCCTCCCCCTCCCCCTTAGAGCACATCCCCCTGAGAGCCACCGAGTCTCTGCACATCTGAAGGACAGCCCCTGGTGCTCATAGCTCTTTTGACCTGAAAGAAACAAATCTGCGCTGCCTCTTTGTCATCAAACCCCCAGGCTCCTTCCTATGAGACTTACTCCTTCAAGAAAAATGACATGTTGTCTCATGTACATTTTAATGTTATTATTGTACTGTATTATTGAGTCACCCTTGGTACCAAATATGTGATGTTATTGTGCTAAAGATTCTGTTTGTATTGGTTGGTATTAGTAATTTTATTTAATGATCTGAATAGGTTTTTTGATCTACATAACCTTTGGGTCATTTGTTTTAGTCCTAGAGGAAGAAAAAATACATGAAAACATGCATTTGTGAACTGTGCATGGCAACTTTCTGACTTCTTTGTGACTTCCTCAAAACAAAATAGTTTTTAAGCACCATACTTTTGATCATCTGGAGATACCCTCCCAAGTAATATTACCATCAAGTTTGGTGAAAATGGTTCCATGTGATACACACACAGACAAAAACTAACTATATGCTTGCCCTCTGGAGTACTGTGTCACACAATAAGGTGCATATATAAACATAGATTCTATATTTGACATCAGAAATATAATTTGATATCAAAGTCAATAGAACAGTAGACATAATTAAAATAGAGAACTTGAAACTCGGCGATACAATAATACTTTAGAATGTATGTACTGCAGAGAATAGGCAGTGGTTACGTGCCGCTAGTGACAGAGGTGACTGTGGGTCGCACGCACTTTCTGTAGCCCGTCCACCAGGAGAAAACAAAGCTGCAGAACCACGAGGCTTGGCTTAGCTCCCATGTTTGGAGTCACAACCCATTTCCCTTTCCCTGCTTCTCTAACAGGGGTAATTTGAGCTTCTCCCAGAGCAGCCACTACTAATTTCCCCCTCCTTTTTATACCAAATTGGGTGAGTCCATTCAGTAAAGTGGCAAAGCAAGGTTGCAGGAGATGCTCATTATCAAAGCTGATTAGATTTTACTACAGGCACACACAAACACACACCATGTCAGCAGCTGTAATGGCAGCAAATACAAGGCATCGTGCTGTGAAGCATATTTGTCATTTTTGTAAATTAATCTAGGAATTTTTGTTCAAATTCAGTCCAAAATAGGTTTCATATATATATTTACTATGTATTACTATGTATCTCAGAGGTACTTTATGTTTTTTTGTCTTGTATGTCTCTATACTCTTCATAATCTCAATATTTGGCAAAAATGTAAAATTTCATCATAAATTAGCTGAGGTGCTCTTTATTTCAGTCGAAGCAACTGAATAATTTATATTAATCACAGAAGTTAAGATAAAGTTATAGCATCAGTCCATGTCCACGTCTGCATGGACGTCTTTGTAGGCGTCTGTTTGCTGGCAATCAAGGATTCCTTATTCTTTAAAAATGGAAAAAGGTTTACCGGTAACAATCAGTAGTTGTCAGATTGCTAATTCTGTGACCTTTTTTTCAAAAAAAAGTATTTTATAAACACAGGCTTTTCAAATCTGCTGGCAAACAAAGCAGTCCTTTATTTCCTTTTTTAAATTGAGTTGAAATTATGATGTGCCCCAAAGGGAAATATTACTGTTTAGTCGTTTAATGAAATACTTCTTGCCAGCACTCATTTAAAGATAATGGGCATTTGATTATGTTTTGGTAATGGCTGTTCTGTGGCATAGCTTGTTGGGCTGTTAGGATGTCAGCTTAGCCTGAGCTGTGAAAACAGACTGGCAGCTGAACATATTGGCTGTGACTCAATAAGAAAGCAGGGGCTTCCATTTGAGATTTTCTTTTTGACTGCTAAAGAGCACAGACAAAATGTCCACCGGTTTATACATTTTTATTCTTAAATTGTTTTATATTGTTAAGTATATATATATTGTATGTATTTACTATAATTATTTGTTGGGGCAATTTCTAGAGAGGTTGACAGCAACAAAATCAAAAGAAATGAAAATGAGGGGAGGGAGGAATTGGGAATTCCATGGAACTGTGGTACTTGGCCAGACCCAAACTGGAGAAATCATGGTTCATGGTCATGGTCAGCCAGACCATAAAACACAAACCCTCTCAAGGGTCTCCCTAATATTGCACATGTAAGGCCACCTTCTTGCCGAGGGAAATTCCCAGTGCAAGCATGAAGTCATTATTCAGTTCTTATATTTCACACAAGTTGGATTCCTGCGAAACCAAATCCAATGGTGTTATATTTATTATTTTTACTTCGTGCAATCTTGTGTGTGGACTATTAGGTCTTTGTTATTCGAGTGTTACACTGGTGGGAATCTGTGACAAAAATGTGAAATAATAATTAATGAGTAGAGTACATACCTTCACCAAGGCCCAACAGGTCCAGTTCAATAAATCTGATTCTTTCCATGTTCCATCCTTCCACCAAGTTTGATGGAAACCTGTTCAGTAGTTTTGTGTAATTCTGCTGACAAACTAACCAATCAGCAAATAGACAGGGGTGAAAACATAACCTTCTTGATAGTGGTAATAATAAAAACGGGCCATATCGTCCCTACAGCTGTTCAATCATTCTTTAATGGCTAGTATTATTAATGCTGCAATATTAACTAGATAGTTTGTTTTTGTTCTCTTTGTGGAGCTGTTTCTTTTGCAGGCCGTTCACAACGCTC